TCTCACGACACGCGATGTACATGGTAACAACAATAACATACGCGTTCGACATGAGTTGCATCGGCGCAATCCCGAAGTGATCCAAGAACGACCTAACAAAAGGGCGGAAGGGGATCAACCCCCCACGCTTGAAGATCTCCTTGGAGATCGCGAGCATCCCACTTGAAGGGTATCGCGATGAGCGGGTCATATCACGGAAAACTTCCACATTGACATCATATTGTTTTGTCACCCTCTCGAACTCTTCCCTGGTGAGTATCGAGTAGACCTCAGGAGTGACATTCGGAGCACCCTGCGAGGACGAACCGACTCCTTCCTTAGATCTGGTCGTTGAGGGGTCCATTCTACTGGTCTGCAAAAGCGACAAGCAGGGGGGTCATTTAGCCATCGTACGCTATTCCGTACGATGACGCAGAAGGAAACAAACTCCCTAAATCCTAGAGAAAACTCTAACAGAATGATTCAAGCTGCCATTCATGGCTCGAACCCGACATGAGCGTCTCGTCTCCGATCAACTACCGGAAGACTAATGCCATTTACCAACCACGGGGAATAAGAAAATAAAAGCAGAGAACGATTCTTACCTCTCGGAATACGAAAATGGCTCCTTCTGCTTCAAATATCAAAAGCACGCTGGTTTGGAAGGCAAAGATTCCAAGCTTGCGAAAGTCTCTTGCTCTCTCTGAAAAAGACAAGTGTGGTGACATTGCCTGGGATGGATCTGAGTTTTTATAGCAAAGGAAACGACGCTTGGTTTTCTAGAAATCAAAATGACATTTGGGCAGAAAAATGTCTCACCATTGATCACGACCACATGTCGTAGATCAGTGAGGAAGAGTGACCGTCACGATTAAAGAAAACCAAACCCTTATCCTTTTCAGTTGAAAAACTCAAGCGACGACACTCTCTCCCTCAACATTAATTGCGCCCCAATCTGCATTTAATGCTCTGATAAGGGGTGTCGTTTCAACATGTCATGCATTTAATGTTCTGATAAAGGGTATCGTGTCAGCACACCACGCATTTAATGCGTCTGGTTGGCACTTATTACGCACATGACACGTTTGTCAGAGCAGAGGCTGCTTCATTAAATGCATCCGTATTGAAAGTACAACAGGTAACGCTTGACGAGGTCAGGTCGCTCATCCTTAACAAGCGATAACCATGCGAGGTCGTGTTCGCAAAAAGCACTACCCCAACCTCTTTTCAAACAGGTCGGAATCACCAGAATTTCCTGAAAGCATCCAGTCGCGGCATGAATTATAGTTTCCAAGGTTCAATCCTCAAACCTTAAAAACTAAGGGACTTTTGTTATGCCTAAAGAATGCAGGGCTGACGTAAGGTCCAGTCAGCGTGTAAAAGTCAGAGCATGGGTACACCCGCAGCCGAGTCACGTGAGGAAAGGAGCAGCATGCTCCTGTCAGTATAATGGGTGCGCGCCAGACTAGCCAGGAGCTGGAAAGCTTCCACATGTCCAAATTCCTGCACCAAATCGCGTAAATAACTCTGGAAGGTGGGTAATGGGACGTAAAGGAAGATTTGTACGGATAATCCCACCAACTCACAGATTCAGTAATGATAACCTTAATCCATCCCACTATAACAATTGAGAGTCCCTCTCTCATTTAAGGGATTAGCTACTCTCTCTCAAGAATATATAGCATTCTCTCTCTTGTACTATCATTTTGTAAGTCAGTTCGCTAAAGCGACCTGACCTCTATCATTAATACAAACATCAGTGGACATAAGACTTGCTTCCTTAGCATCCGAACCACTTTAAAAGCTGTTCCTATTGCATTTACTCTCATTTTCTCTTACATTCACGTGTGCCTTCTGAGCCAGCTCAGCATTTCACACGTGCGTTTCGTTGGTATCAAAATCACGCATCAACACATATCATTCTATTGCTTTGGCAAATATTGAATTTTTTAAAATTCATGCATAAGGACCCTGCAGTTTAAACTCATAGTATTATGTAAATGAAAATGTGAGATTTGTCTATCATTTTTCTCACCAAATTCTTTTCTTGTGAGTTATTAACCTATTCTGAACCAAGAAGAAATTTGCTGGCCGAGTATCTCTAATAGTGCTCTTTATTTTAAAGAGCATCTTTCATATAAATAAAGCGCATCTTCATTAATTTTAAAATAAAAAGAACACATTTTTTATTCAAATCCAATAGACTCTTTAAATTTAATGAAGATGATTTTTATTTTTAAGAAAGAGACTTAATGGGAGAGAGAATTAATAAATAAAATAGATATGAACTTGTAGTTTATTAATTAAAATTAGGATAGAGAGTGAAATTTGACCCTCTAAATGTAGAGAGTCAAACTCACTCTCTAATTTATATTTTAAAAATAAAGAGTTTGTTAGACTCTTGTTTTTATAGATAAACTCTTTATAATAAAGAGTTTGGGTCATATAAAGAGTCATTTGGAGATGTTCTAATAGGTTTTATCCTTTTCATTTATGAGGCTAATTATATATATGTATATATAGTAAAACCTCTTTATAGTCATAATGGTGGGATCAAACTAATTTATTACTATAAAGAAGTTCTAATTTAATAGAGGTATAGTTACAAAAATTAATATTTTGATTTCTTATTTTATAATTCATGTTTTAATAGTGTGTATTGGGATTTCAATTAATTGTTTTAGTAGTATTGGTATCAGTATTAGTATCACACAACTGTTGTGTTCTTACCACCAAGTAGCACTTCCAAAATCCAGTTGTGTGATGTAGGCATCATTAGAAATTTCAAAGGTTATTATAGTCAACGTTTAATTGCCTATTTTTGAAACGGATAGAAGATCATGTATTAGAACCAGAAAAGAAAAGTATCCTTAATAAAATTGAAAATGCAGTTGCTGCATGGTCAATTGATGTGAAGTCACAGACAATTGTCAATTGTTTTAAGCATTGCAAAATTAGGACCCTCGGTTTTGATGAATTGCAAGTTACAAATGAAGTGGATGTAGAAAATAAAAGACTCATTGCAGAATTGAGTGATCAGATTCGACAACTTCACTATACTAATCGAATGCATATTAATATCTTCCTCGCTCATCCAAATGAGTAACAAGTCGTATGTACTTTAACTGAAGAAGAAATCATTACTGCAATTAGACAAGAAGAGAAAGAAAATAATCCTGAGGATGATAGTATAGAAATACAAAAAGTTTCGAGCCATGAAGCTCTAAACATGCTTGAAAAGCTAGAAATATTTTGGTTTTAACAAGAAGATGTCTATGCTAACAAATTATTACATACCCGCAAGTTAAAAAGTGTCGTAACAACTCTAAAGCATAAATCATTGTCCCAAACAACTTTAGATAAAAATTTTATTTCATTTTAAACCTTTAATATAACGTAGCATATATTTTTTTGTAATATATATATATAATTATTACTATGTGGAAGCAACTTTCCTTAAGACAAGAATTAGAAAAATTATAACTTCTTATAATATGGAGTTTATTTTTATAGAGTATCACTATATAGAGAGTTTTTCCTGTATAAGGGAAGTCCAATATAATGACTTCAGAAAAAGAAAACAAAAGATTTTTTTTTTTTTTCCAGGATTTAGATGTAATAAATACACAGCGAATTGAAGAGTCCTACAATAACTTGTACCTCTAGATTAGCAAAGTACTATAATCTCCAAAGCTGAACTCGTCAATTTAACAACTGAACAATTAAGGTCGGATGGGATCATTTCTCCGACTTTGAACCTTGTACCATTATTAGCTTACATAAAAGAAGGAAGTTGAAAAGTTGGCAATAAGAAGCTATAAAACTAAAAATAGGATCCACAATTGCTTGCTGCAACTAGTCTAGTAGAAAATAAGGTAGACATCTGACATGCTATTCGCAAGTGTATGAAATCGTGCAAGTAATAAAGCTCGAGTAAACGCGTGTCGAATCAACTACTTGCCAAGTACCAAACTACTCTATTCTATTGCTATTTGATAAAACAGAATTTTAAGAATAGCTTTAATGAAAAAAATAACAAACTAAAGACTAAATAAATGCAGAATTTGTAAACACTTTGATGTAAAGATCAATATGACTAAACCTAGGGCACAGATTTCACACCAATTTAGTCATATGCATCGACAATTATTGCTAACCTAAGTAAGCTTATTCTAAAGGCCAAATTCCCTGTTATTCCACTAACTTTCTCTCGAACAATTAGCGAATTAACCCTTAAGCAACAACCCAAAATATCTCTAAGTTGGATTTAAGAGTTAAGAGATCATTAAGTTCTATAGAATTTACCAGAGCCTCACAGATCGTGGTAACCTATCTCTAGCGTTCACTCAATCTATGGTTTTATTACCTTAGACAAATCAGGTTTCATCTCTAGATCTCAACCCAACTCATGATATCATTCAACTCTCAGATCCTTAAGAATTGAAAGCATTATGCATAATAATAAAACTTAGAATTAAATGCTCAATAAGAATTAACAACAAATTAAATCAACACATATTCATAAATTGGGCTACATCTTTAGCCCTAGAAAAGAGATTCAGTTCATAATTACAATAATGAAAACAACCATTGTATTGAATGACATGGGTTCAAGAAAGAAAAATATAAACACTTCGCTAATTTGTGAATGAGAATCACAAGAACTCCAATCTCCAATGTAGTAGCCGTCCTTTCTCCCCTTTTCAATCCCCCTTTTAACTTCTTAAAGACCCTCTTTTATATCCCTAGGGTTCTGGTTGTGCTTAGGAAAAAGATTGGAAAACTTAGCCCATTCAGATTCGGATTAGGATAATGAATTAACACACACCCGTGACCCATCGCCGCGGCGGTAAGAATGGTCACTGCGGTGATCGTTCTTTCTGTCCAAGGCATCCGTAATCTTCAGAATTTGATAAAGTCACCAACAAAAACATTGTAGCTCTCTGAATAAGCTTTCCAACGCCACCAGAATCGTCGAATTCCGACTTCTACAGCTCAAGTTATGACAGAAATATCGAAACATGCTCATGATAAAGGATTTCCAGATTTTACGTAACGTCTTTGACGCGCCACAACTTTCTCGTTTCGACTCTGATTCCTGTGCCGTTTGTTCCTACACGTTGTGAGTCCCATCGACATCATTCTTTTCCCTTCAAAAATCTGTTTGAGCCTGAAAACACTTAAAATGTACTTGTGATCCCATAAATGGTATTTATGAAAAAATTAATCCAAATTCCATACTTTAAACACATTTTTCCATAAATAAACCAATTAAATCACTAACAAAATATCAACATTCAAGCTCTTATCAGCAACAGAGATGATTTTTGAAGACGCGGAAGATGATGTTGGCCTTTGACAGGAGAAGGTGAACCTTGGACCCAGAAAGAAACCTCTTGTCAGAAGTCCCAATGGTTTACTAATACACAGGGCTAATTTGGCTAACAAGTCCAGCATTCCCAATGCGCACACACCTGATGCTCATTATGGAAGCCATTTAGGTAAACTCAATAGCTGTCTAATGTTTTTTAACTTTTATAAATCATATATATTCTTTTAAGAGACCTTTCTCATAAGAGTCTATGAGGTTTTGCTTCCGAAGATTTGAAGTGGGAATTTGGTCATCTGCAAAAGAGTCAGTATATATATATATAATTTCTACTTATTATTCAGACTTCCTACATAAAAGAAAAAAGTTGAAAAGTCTTGGTCTTCCACTATCAAATTCCGACGACTTCAATCTTCTTGACTTCGTTAAATTATTACTGCCTGTAAATTATTAAAAGATTTTAGTTATACTTAAATTATTACTGCCTGTAAATTATTAAAAGATTTTAGTTATACTTAAATTATTACTGCCTGTAAATTATTAAAAGATTTTAGTTATACTTTCTCCGAAGAAAGTAACAAACAGCCAATCAGGTGATAAAGCCAAAAGAAAATTTCTCTTCTAATGATGAACCTTCCAAGAGAAGGCGGGTAACTTTTTAGTTGTATAATTCATCTTCAACACTCTCCTTTGCGCAAAAATAATCTGTGTTTCTACATATAATTCCAAAAATGGCAGGAAACATTTACGACAAGAACAAGAAAATTGTATGCTATGATCACGGCGGTTTGGAAGAAGATGCAGAAGATTATGGTGGTCTCTCATTGATGAAACTGAATCTGGGTCCAAGAAAGAAACTTGTTATTTTTGGGCTAGGAGGGTTGCTTTGCCATAGGGTCTGTCATAAGCAGAGGTCAAGCGTTCCAATCTATCGCAGTCCTGACGCTGCCCATGGAAGTTATATAGGTGAAAGTTTTCATATTTTTGTTGGCCTACTGATCATAATTAATTAATGAAACTAATCTTTTAAGAAATTCATTCTTTCTTGCAGTTTACAAGAGACCTTACTGTACTGACTTTATGAAGTTTTGCCTGGAAAGATTTGAAGTAGGAATATGGTCATCTGCAAGGGAGTTAGTATTATTAAAATAATAATTTATTAATTTCTATTTCTTTTGAAATTTAATGCTGTTTTCCTAACTCCACAAGACTTATACCAAAACAGGTGGTACATGAGTAATGCCCTTGATTGTATAATGGCTGGTTTGAGAAGCAAACTGTTGTTTGCTTGGGTAAGCATAAACTATACACTGTTTAGTATTTATCTCCAATTTTAAGATTGATAAGTACTGCTGAAGAATTTCTAAAATGTCTGATGGTTTCTTATAGGAGCAAAATGAATGTACGAATTCTGGGTTCAGCACCCTGGAGAAGAAAGACAAGCCCATTTTTCTCAAGGAGTTGGACAAAATATGGGAAAACAAATACTCTAATCTACCTTCGCGTGTGGGGCAATATTTATCGTCCAACACATTGTTGATTGATACTGACGCTTACAAGGCTTTGCTAAATCCTGTAATATGTCAACCAACATCAATTATATTCTTACTTGAACAACTGAAAATTTTCTTCGGGATTTCCTAATCTTATGTCTTTTGTCTTGCAGCCCCACACATCAGTGTTTCCAACTGAATACAAAGCAAGCGATGTTGATGATGATGCCTTAGGTCCTAAGGGCGAGCTGAGGCTGTACTTGGATGGCCTGGTAGATGCAGATGATGTTCCTTCATATATCAAAGAGCACCCATTTGGACAGCCTGCAATAACAGCCTTGCATCCTCATTGGGATTATTATTCCAAGGTTGTCACCCACATCAAAAAAGCTACTCTTTTAAGTGATGAATGGTGATAAGAAAATGATACATTTGCAAGGGTGTGTGAAGTGGCTGTTCATCTAATATAATAATTTGTGGCTTGACTTTGCATATCTTTATTCTGTTTTTCTCCCTCACTAAGCAATGAATAAATCTAATAATTAAAAGCTGCAATGAGGCAGAATACCAGCTCTGGAACAGCAAAAACTAAACGCTGAAATGCATATCAAGAAACGATCATTCACAAGAATGGCAAACAAGATTACAAGAGAAAGGAGAACTAAACATAATATCAAGTGAATGAATAGAATTGTCTTAATTTAGTTCAGTTGACGATCAGTATTTTTGTAAAATAAAAATACTTCTACAACATTGCTAAAAAATGAATGCTGCATTTGTTTCTAATTTCTAAATTTCAGGCAGCAATTTGGGAACTTCATGTTAATTAATCTAATTGTTACAATAAAAATGAAATAAGATTAGTTCATCCAGTTATCACATCAGCCTCCAAGTCTCGAAATACACCTGAAAATGAACGGGAATAAGAATTATTTATGTTTCTCCACTAGTTCTTTGTTTTTTAATTTTTCTGAGCAGTAAATATAAACATACCTTGTACAGCCTATTCACTGAGCAAAGACACATTGATATCAGGAGATGGCCCCTGGTTAGATGTGGTCTCTGAGCCATTCCAACCCGGACTAGGGGATGATGTGACATTTGGCAATTGTTCGTTGTTTTTGGTGTTATTCACTTCTGCGTGGTTTTGTACCAGTATTGGAGTTACAGGGGTCAAACAGGTCTCCCCATAAGGTTTTGCCTGTGAAATTGGTCTTGCTGCTGTCACTGTATCAGGAGCACCCGGAGACATAGAAGGAATCGCATGTTCTCGATGGTGCTTCCTTTTATGTACCTTGTAACCATTTGGCATGAAACTTCCTACCACAATCTAATGAACGAAGCAGAACCAATGTAAGTCATCCATCAAATACAGTAGCATAAATGGTAAAAAATAGTTGAAAGTATTTCTTCTTTTTCTTTTTCCCATTTCTTAATCAACGAGCAATAACAAAATATAGCTACATGTTTCATTGTATAAAACCAGTTCATCATGTATGTCCTTAACTAATGTATTTGAATAAAGCACATTTCAGTTCCATTTAGCACACTAATTTAACATGAAGTTTGCATAAAACATCACTCAAAGAGTGTGTATCCATTGAGGTAAATTCAGACTACGTGTAGAATGTATTAAATTTTTCAGCATTTTCATCAAGTTTATAGCAAGCGGCATAAAATAGCATATTTGATTGCTGGGTTTTAATATAGGATATTTTTGTAATACATAGACATATAAACCATGACCTGGTGAATACAACCAGGAAGTGCATAAATATTTTTGTTGGATCCTCATCTATAACTATAAACTTAAGTTTTGAGGTTAAGTGGTTACTTAAAATGATATAAAAGTCAAGTTATTTAGTGGTCTTACGTTCAAATTGTGCTTATTATTAATTAAATTATAAAAATTTGTGATCAAGGTCATGGTTGTATTTATAAGTGTAGTTGTGTTTGATTCTGATGAGCCACTTGGGAGGCTGGTCTACAGTAGGAAGGGTAGAGGTGAGAAGTAGAGGAATATTTGTTATGCATGAGGTTAGGAGTTGTTTTTGGGAGGATAGGTGGCCTATGAGATTGGAAGGAAGAAGAATTCGGTTAGGAGCAAAAGGTGTCAGAGAATAAAAGTGAGAGAGAGAAGGAATTGGAGGATATTCAGAAAAGAAGGTTAAGGTTTAGAAGGGGAGGTGACTGACCCTCGAAGTTCAGTCTTATCTTTATTTTCTTTGTTGTACTTAGAATTGTTCCAATTTGTTGCTTGTTCACTTGGTAGATGATAGAACATGATCTCTGGATGTACTGCTCTATTTTAACGTCAATATAGAGTTTATTTCCTTTTCTTTACTGTGCTTATTGATTGTGAATTCGTATTGGATAGATTTATTGTGTGTTTCTTGGTGATTCACAGTTCAGTGTTCTATCAAGTGATATCAGAGCACTAGTGTCCAGGTAATGGTTGTGACGAGAATGGATTCTAGAATGGATAATGTTGAGAAAGAAGTTACAAAGTTAGGGGTTGAAATGGGTACTATTCGAGAATGTTTGGTAGAGATACAATCCTGGGTGTGAAGAAAGGACGAAGAAGAAGTTGGCAGAACAGAGATGCACTCATTGGGAAATGTTCGCTCTCACCAAGTAAAAAATCCTAATGGAGCTAGTGGGTCTGGTGACAGTAGCCAGAATCGCAGTGAAATAGGAGGACAAAAATTGGAAATGCCAATATTCTCTGGCGAGGACCCTTACGAATGGATTTTTAGAGTGGAGCATTACTACAACCTTAACGGAATATCTGAGAAAGGGAAACTGACAACGGCGGCCATTTTTATGGAAGGTGAGACCATCAATTGGTTCCAGTGGACTGAATCCAGAACTCCGATAAGTTCGTGGGCCATGTTTAAACTTGCACTCCTCTAGAGGTTTAGTAGATCACAACAGCATAATCCTCATGAGTCCTTAATGGCGATGAGACAGATTGGTTCAATGGCTGAATTTCGTCGACAATCTGAAGTGGTGGCTGCACTTTTGGTAGAGGAGAAGGAAGAGATATTACAGGCTGCTTTTGTAAATGGGCTTAAAGTTGAGATCAGAGTTGAAGTTCGTTTAGCCCAACCTAGCTCTTTAATTCAAATAATTGAATTGGCCCAAAGAATAGAGGAGAGAAATCAAGCCTTAGAGGAAGCCCAATTAGGAGCAACTAAGTTTACCCGCATGAGTGGAGCTGGGCTTTCATATAGGTTCAACAACCATGGATCCAGAAATCTGACCTGACCCAATGACAACCCAAAATTCCCAAATTTGCCAGAATCCCTAAAATCAACCCCTGTTTCCAATTACAATCAACGAACACCTGAATCCTCAATACAGAGTTCGTCACCCAATTACTCCCCTCGCGACCAACCACCATCTTCTTTTCGAACCTTTGAGCGACCAACTTTCAACGAAAAGAGTTCCATTTAGAAAGATGACAGACGCAGAAATCCAAAAAAAAAAAAAAAAAAAAAAAGGAGAAAGGCCTTTGCTTTAGATGCGACGGTAAGTTCTTTCCTGGACACAAATGTGGTGAAAAACAATTCCAAATCATCTTAATTGATGAAGAAGAAGATGAACCAAAATCGATTGGTGATGGAGAAACAGTTGAACCTGAAATTGAGCGACAACAAGAAAATGTCGAACTTTCTCTCAGCTTGATGGTGGGGATCAATAGTCCAAAGACAATGAAGCTTAAAGGAAGAATCAAAGATAAGAAGTTGATTGTATTGATTGATAGTGGGGCTTCCCACAATTTTATCAGTTCTGAGGTGGTTAAAAGGTTGGGGATATCGATAGTAGGAACTCAGTCTTTTGGGGTTAGAGTGGGTGATGGGTATAACGTGAGGTGTGAAAGAGAGTGTAGAGATGTTTGTATGGAGTTACAAGGTGTTACCATCGTTCAAAACTTCTTTCCATTTGACATGAGTAGTGTTGATGCTGTTCTGGGAATTGCATGGCTGAAGACTCTAGGTGAGAAAGTCACTAATTGGAGAAAGCAAACAATGAGGTTTAAATTGGGATATCAGACAGTTAGTTTGTGTGGGGATCCATCACTTAACAAAACCATGGTGTCTCTCAAAGCTATGATTAAGGCCTTGTAACGTGAAGGGCAGGGTTGTTTGATAGAGTTTAGACAGATTCAGACACAGTGTGATGAAAATGGGGATATTGATGATCAATTGCTGGATGTGTTGGAGAAATCTAGTCAAGTTTTTAATCCACTTCCAGGATTACCACCTGCCAGATCGAGAGACCACACCATTCAAGTAGTTCCAAGAACTCAACCACCAAACCTTAGACTGTATAGGTACCCTTACTATCAGATAAAGCGCATTGTCAAGGAAATACTGGCCTCTAGGATTATAAAGCCGAGCATAAGTCCATTCTCAAGTCCTATTTTATTGGTAAAGAAGAAGGATGGTGGGTGGAGATTTTGTGTGGATTATAGGGCAATTAACAAGGTGACAGTTCCAGACCAATTCCCGATTCCAGCTGTCGACGAGTTATTTGATGAGTTAGAATGGGCAACAGTGTTTTCCAAGCTTGATTTGAAGTCAGGCTATCATCAAATCAGAGTTAAACCAGAGGACACACACAAACAGCTTTCCGAACACACGAAGGGCACTATGAATTTCTGATTATGCCCCTCGGCCTAACCAATGCACCAACCACCTTTCAAGTAGTAATGAATGATGTCTTCAAGCCGTATTTGAGGAAGTTTTTGTTAGTTTTCTTTGACGACATACTAATTTATAGTAAGGAGATGGGTGAGCATGCAAGGCATCTAAGCATTATCTTAAAGACACTATTAGATAATTAGTTGGCGGTCAATAAGAAAAAATGTCATTTCAAGCAGCAACAATTAGGGTATTTGGGGCATGTGATCTCAGCAAAAGGAGTGGCGGTTGACCCCTCAAAGATATAGAGCATTACTAAATGGCCAACGCCAAGGGACATCAAGACACTCAGAGGCTTTCTTGGTTTGACAGGATATTATCGACAATTTGTTCGGGATTATGGAAAGATAGCCCTCCCACTCACTGCTCTATTAAAGAAAGATTCGTTTGTGTGGAGTACAACAGCTCAAGGTGTTTTTGAAGAATTAAAAAAACTCATGACGAGTGTTCCAGTCCTCTAAATGCCTAATTTCACACAAGAATTTATCATAGAGACTGATGCTTCCGGGAATGGTTTAGGGGCCGTGTTGATGCATGAGGGGTGACCTATTGCCTTTCTCAACAAAGGTTTGTCTCTAAATTCCAAACTTAAATTAGTTTATGAACGAGAATTAATGGCTATAGTTATGACTGTGCAAAATGGCGTCATTATCTTTTGGAAGACGTTTTGTTATGCGGACAGATTAGCGAAGTCTTCATTTCTTAACTGACCAGAAATTGTTGAGTGAGAATCACCAAAAATAGATTATCAAGTTATTGGGGTTAGATTTTATAATTCAGTACAAACCTGGGCCACAGAACAAGGCAACAAATGCTCTCTCTAGAATGCCGGAAGTTGTCGAGCATCACGCTCTTTCTATGAGTTGCTGCTCAGGTATAACAAATTTAGAAGATGCCATTAATCAGGATGACAAGTTACACGGGATCATGCAACAACTTTTGATTGACCAAATAGCCATCCTTATTTCAAATTGGTGGGCCGACACCTGTTGTACCATGACAGGCTGGTGGTGCCTAAATCTGGACCTCATATCTAGAAAATATTACATGAGTTTCATTCCTCACCCATTGGGGCCATTCGGGTTTCTTTCGAACATATAAACGCATCACAAATATAGTGTTTTGGGAGGGGATGAAGAAAGATATTAAGGAGTTTGTGGAAGCTTGCATTATTTGCCAACGGAACAAATACGATGCCTTGAGCCCAGCGGGTCTGCTACAGCCATTGCCTATTCCTAACCAAGCGTGGGAAAATGTCTCTATGGACTTTGTTATGGGGCCTCTAAAGGTTCATGGGGTAGATACAATTCTGGTAGTTGTTGATCATCTTACAAAATATAGCCATTTTATAACTCTCAAGCATCCTTACACAGCTAAAGTGGTCGTTGATCTATTTATCAAAGAGGTGGTACGGTTGCATGGGTTTCCTCGCACCATTGTTTCAGATCGGGATAGAGTTTTCATGAGCCACTTTTGGGGAGAATTAGTTAAACAGTCAGGAACCCAACTGCACATGAATTCAGCTTACCACTCACAAACAGATGGTCAAACCGAAGTGGTAACCAATGTTTGGAGATGTACCTCAGGTGCTTTTACAATAGCCAACCCCAATAGTGGCTGAGATGGGCTCCGTGGGCAGAGTTTTGGTTTAACACAACTTATAGTAGCTCCACAGGTATGTGTCCATTTAAGGCTCTCTATGGACGCGACCCTCCAACAGTGTTGAGGTATGCTGACCGCACTTCCTCAGTCGAAGAAGTCGACCAACAACTTCGAAATCGCAACAATATCATAGAGGAGTTAAAGAAGAATCTCCTCAAGGCTCAAAACCGAATGAAGACTTATACTAATAACCAACGGCGAGAAGTTACGTTTGAGATTGGGGAATCCATGTATTTGAAGTTATAGTCCTACAGATTAAGATCTCTAGCTCGTCGATATAATAAGAAACCTAGTCCGAGGTTTTACGGTCCATTTGTGATCACGAATAGAATTGGGGTCGTACCTTACAGGCTAGCATTACCTCCCTTAGCTCGTATTCATGACATTTTCCATGTCTCGCAATTGAAGAAGCCAATTTCCTCACTCCCCAATAGTCAACCTCTACCAGAAGCCCTCAATGAAGATTTTATTTTGCAGGTTGAACCTGAAGCTGTACTCAAGAAAAGAAAGCTCTTGAATGGACAATGGGAGGTACTAATTCAATGGAAAGGCTTAGCTCCTTATGAAAACACTTGAGAGGATTTTAACACAATCCACTCTCAATTTCTTTCTTTCCACCTTGAGGATAAGGTGGTTCTCCTTGGGGAGGGTAATGATAAGCCACTTGGGAGGCTAGTCTACAGTAGGAAGGGTAGAGGTGAGAAGTAGAGGAATATTTGTTATGCATGAGGTTAGGAGTTGTTTTTGGGAGGACATGTGGCCTAATCAGATTGGAAGGAAGAAGAGTTCGGTTATGAGCAAAAGGTGTCAGGGAATAAAAGTGAGGGAGAGAAGGAATTGGAGGATATTCAGAAAAGAGGGTTAAGGTTTAGAAGGGGAGGTGACTGACCCTCGAAGTTCAGTCTTATCTTTATTTTCTTTGCTATACTTAGAATTGTTCCAATTTGTTGCTTGTTCATTGGGTGCTATACTTAGAATTGTTCCAATTTGTTGCTTGTTCATTGGGTAGATGATATAACATGATCTTTGGATGTACTGTTCTATTTTAACATCAATATAGAAAGTTTATTTCCTTTTCTGTACTGTGCTTATTGATTGTGAATTTGTATTGGATAGATTTGTCATGTGTTTCTTGGTGATTCACAGGTCAGCGTTTATCAAATTCACATGCAAGTTCACTAATGTTCTCTCTAATTACAATCATATTGGGAGAGAAAGCTATATATTATTAAAGAAGTACTTCAGGAGCTATAAGATTGGTACAGAGAATAATTATTTAAGAAACAGGTTAATACCAGAAATTAGGAGAAAAGTGCTCTGTTCTCTTGCTCAAAACTGAGAGTTTGATTAAAATAATTCAGATAGACAAAAGGCAGAAAAAGGCCTTACCTGGATAGGGCTAGCAGCCAGTAATAAACCAGCAAGACCACCACCTATAACACGCCCATCAGGTCCAGCCAACGAAACGCTCAATCCACCGGTCCTACTTCTTACGCCACCTGTATCACTGACTGTGAATGAACCAGATAATGACAGTATCTCGAAGCGACCCTGCAAAGAATATTTTACTAAAAATTTAGAAGGAACAAAGATATAAATCTCAATGAAGGTCTTATCAGTAAGTGGTAAAATCATCATGAAAACAAACAAAGCCAAGGAGCACAAACATAAATTACTCTGTGCTGCATCGGAGAATATGTTTAGATGAAACAATCATAGCGGGTGATACGAAAGATGATATTGAAGTTAACTGAGTTACTGGCAGTTGGACATTTATCACATGGTACAAATTCTGTAACAGTCCTACTTCTCTATAAACACGACAAAACTGGATGAGAAAAACCTCCCGCCTGCATATATGAAGTGTCCAGGATATATAGCAAGAACACGGCCTCAAGTTTCAAAGTTTTCCAAAGAAATAAAGTTTGTGCAACGTAATATATGTTGAACAAAAAATTTGGTCAAGCGTGTATGTGAAAAAGAATTAGACTTGGAATTTGGGGCGTAAGACTGCTGTTTTGAGCTCAAAGATCATCTGTGAGGCTCAAGTTAGCTTGTCTGATAGTAAGGACTCTCGGGGCTATTTTCGGCTCAATTTTACCATTAATTCTTCCAATCGGGCTTTCCAGATTTTATAAATATAAACAGAGCATATTCTCTGAGAGTATGTTAATGAAGGGTTTGAATGTTAGTAATGAATTATTTGGGGTGTTCTAGTTAAGAGCTTATCATTGATATTGCTCCAGTAACTGAACTGAATTTCTGAAATACTAAAAGAACATATTTTCTGAGCATATGTCGTTGTATCTTTGGGGAAATTTGTGTTCTTTTAGTACTTAAAACATATCAGCATGTGCCCTCAGAAATCACATTTATTAAACATAGTGTTGATGATTTAGTAATGAATGCCACACTTACAAAATATTCATACATTTATACATGCAAACTGATGTGGAAATGTTATGGATTGTCATGTTAACTACTGCCCATGTATTATGTATATATCTATTTGTACAGGTAACTTGAGTATTATATTATTATTTAATAATTGAATGATAGAACGAGAAAGGAAACCTCACCAACCCAATTAATTATTGTGGAAGCAGAGGAAGGGAGAAATTCCAAGAAAGAAATAAAAGCCATAAAAACAAAATTTTCAGTTCGGAGTTGATACCTCATATGTCAAGATACCACCAGAGGACCCTGGTTGGCGAATGGTAACATTAGAAACAGCTCCATTAGCCGAGAGAATGCAAATTCCTCGAGGACCCTTCTGCGAAAACGAAAGAATCTTTCCAGCAACATCCTGCCAAGATTTTGAGGAAGATTCGTCTTAGATATTCTTAACTAATTCACCGAAGCATTCATAAACACGTCCATTACCTCCCCAGTATTAACGGTTACAACATGAGGTGTGAAGTCCCCTCCCGCTGTGTTCGCGAACAATTCACCTTCACAGATCAAATTCCAGATGTAATATTTATCAAATTATAACAATCTAAAGCAAATTCTTCCCATTAAAAAAGTGAGCATAATGACAAGTACTACACAATCTTTAACTTGACTCATTTCTATGATCACAGGAAAATCTTAATTATTAATGTTCAATGATGATACTGAAAGACTGACCTTTTCAAGTACACATTCAACTTTAAAGTGTTATTATGCGAGAATTACCAGCAATTTTAATTAAAATTAAGAAGAAGAAAAAAGTTCAATTTCGTTGAAGCCAGCCTGGTCAGAAATCCATTAAAAAAATTACAATTATCTGCTGAGTTGAAATTAAGATCTCAATCCCACCATAGATCAACCTACTCTTTCAATTCTCACAATGAGTTTTTATCAACCAACCACATATGGGGTTGGTGAGACAATGAAAGACAAAATAAATAAAATAACAAAGTTTTTTTTTTTTTTTTTTTTTTAATTTTTAGGAATGCTTTTTATTAGAAAACAAAACAAAACAAATATCGAGAATTTTCTTTTTCCTTCTGTGATGTAACTTGAGTAATATTTACTTTTTTTTTTTAAAAAAAGGTTAGCAAACATTAAAATAAACCAAAAAATTCTAACATCTTCCCTTCACTTTCCAGCATTTTCTCAGCAACCAAACGCAAACATGAAAACTTTTCCCGGAACTTACCTAAAGAAGCAAGAAGCTGCCAGTTACCAGAACCCGGAGGCCTACCTCGACCCCTTTTTGAAGAAGAATAATCCGGAGAAGGAGTCAAAGTAAAACCAGGAGGTGACGATACAAGTGGAAAAGAAGAAGGTTGCAACCTCAAGTTTCCTTCAGAATCATATTTTCTCGGCCTCCCTCTTTTTTTCTTTCCAAACAAATCCCCGCTACCACCACTATTATTATTATTGTTATTATTATTTTCTGGGGCTGCTGCAACTGCAATTGCCCCTGCACTAAGATCAATGTTCCTTTCCACATTACTGACCGCTACTTGAGACGACGGCGGCGGCGGTTGCGGCAACAACACGTTGTTACTCACTGGTGGAGGTGAGTCAGTGTACGAGTTACCACCTGTTGATCCGGATATAGTGCTTTCTTTTTCTTCCATGAAGAAAGAATTTGAAAGGGAAACTCAGAGAGAAGTGTGAGTTTTTTTATTTCTAGAAATGGAAGAGAAGTTTGAAAGAGAGAAGGGTAACTGCAAATGGCGCCAGAAGTAGAAGGTGGTGTAGCTTTTTGAACTTTGGAGAAATTTTATGAACTTCCCTCCATTAATGGAGAAGCAAAAGACTCAGAAAACTGGTCTTTTTCTTGACTGGACTCCACGGTATGGTTTATACAATTACTATAATGCCCTTCCTTACCCAAATTACCCTTTTCACATTCTTTTAAGTCACAACTTTGTACTATTTTATGATTTTTTTTTTAAATATAATCAAATTTGTCCATTAATATGATTTGATTTTCATGATATTTCTCTGATTATGATAAATTCAATTTTATAATAAAATTGATTGGGTATAATTAATATTATTTCAAAATGTCACGTGTTGCATGAGTTATTATAAATTTATTTTGTTGATTGGATGGGTGAATTTCATTCATGGATTTCAATTTATTTAATTTAATGAGTTGAATTGAATTAGATTTTAATCTATTTTAAATACATTGAATTCAAATTTTCATACATATTTTGTTGCAAACATCTTAATCATATTAAAAATTTTGGCAAATAGAAATTGAATCATGTTGAAAATCTTATTAAATCGAATTTCTATTAAAAAAATTCATTTATTTCGTATCCAATATTATTATTATGAAAGGGCAAAAGAGTAATATCTCATGCAATAGTTTAGAATATGGTTAAAAAGAAAAAAAAAAAAAAAAAAAAAAGAAAGAAAGAAAGAAAAAGGAGAGTAATAATAAGGCGGTTTTGGAAGTCCACAAAACAACTTTGGATTAAAATGCAGTCAAACTGGTGCTTTGCTGTTAAAGCAATAAACTCGCCTTAAAATAATCCCTTTTTATTTTTTTTTTTGTTTTGATTAAAATAAAATAAAAAGGTTCAAATCCCTAACTTACGTTTTTCAACATAATTGGAATCCGAATTTTAATTTGTTCTCATTATAATTAATTATAATTTCTTTTAAAGTTGAGAGATATGATATGGGCACCTCCTTAATTTGATTGAAAGGCAACCCACCATAGTTAAAACAGCATTTATTTCCCTGCTTCTACTTTTAGGTTTTGTGAATTGAGCACTACCAACCTCTTTTATATTGGTCCGTATTTCTTGGATATTATATAGTTTTTTATTAATCCAACTTAAATCTAGATTGAAAGTGGTGTACAGCTTTTTGTTAATTGAGTTAGCTAATAATGGCTTACAAAACTTAAGAATATATTATTATTACATCGATATTTTTTTTTGATGATATTATGTTGTAATAATTACGAAATATAAGACAATATAAGGACTAATACATAACTAATGAAAGATAAGGGCTATGAAATAGAAGAACAACAAAGGGGTTGAAATTTATTATCATCTCACTTTAGTACACAAGAATTACAAAGAGGAGGAAGGGTTTACATAGTAATTCTTGCCACCCCCAAACTAATCAAATCTTGCCATTTAGCCACTAGGTGCCACAAAATTGATACCACCCTTTGCCATCAAGAGGTGGCAATAGTATGATGAAATGTGTCAAATGGTGAGAGATCCATAATTCTTTGCAGCATATTATTGATTTTCCTTAAGGTTTGGCTCTTTTTATCCGAAAAAAAAAAAAAAAAAAACACGTACTTTTGAAGTATTACTTTACTATCCAAATTTATATTATGTTTCCCACTCCGGCATGTTATGACTCACACCATCATTCTCTTCACAATCATCACTCACCAAAATCCCTTAAATCAATTCTCATCGACCCCACAATTGTCGGCAATCGAGCGATTAGCATTTGCGCATCGCCCTTCCCAAGTCAAATTGCGATCAATCCAACCACCAAAATCTAACCTTCCACCACTAAAAGACTCATCGGCCTCTCCTTTTAAAAGCCCTAATGGCTGGACCGAATTTGCTTTTGTTCACCGCTGGAATATAAATTTGGGTAGTCAGTGGTATTTTAATAGTTTATGGGTGAGAAAGTGTCATTAAACCATTATTTGGGTGGGAAAAAGTCGTTTACTAAATTTATAATAATTAGAAATAGAGACAGTGCAAACTTTTGGTATGTGCTTCACTTAAAAGGGGTAGTAATTAAATCAGTTTAACTTAAGGGATATTTATAAATTAACCAATTTTTAGGGGTTAAAAAAACCACTTCTTGACTCTTCTACAGTTGTTTTCTCCTTTATTATTTTTCAAAATATCCAACATTTTGCATACCCTAATCTAAGTTGGCCTCTCCTACCCCAAGGTTGCACATGTCATGGGTTGAGAGTTTCATACCGAAAAGGCTAACCTATTAGGTGGAGGGACTCTCCCTTATAACCCAACACCCTGACACCCCCCCACCCCCCCCCCCCCCCCCAAAAAAAAAATTTCCCTTCCGATGTGGATCCATGACATTCTCTCCCACCCAATCTGTGATGCCCCCCCCACCAGTCACAAGTGGGGCCCCCTGCCTACCCGTCCACCTTATCCTTGAGTGGACCCACAATCACATGTGGACGCCCCTCTGTGTGGACACTTGGCGGGACACTGAAAAATGGATTGGGGTCAGCTTTGATACCACTTGTCATGAGTTGAGAATTTCACACCCAAAAGGCTAACCTATTAGGTGGAGGGACTCTCCCCCTTATAAACCCAAGACCCCCCCATTTCCCTTTCGATGTAGGATCCATGACAATATGCTAACCTAAAGTTCACACAAAATCTGGGTTGGTTTAAGACGAATTTCTAGTTCTTCTTTTTAGATTAAGATATACACAATTCTCAATTTTTTGTCATGTTAATACTATAGCAAGTAGTAGCACATAATAACCTAGTATACTCAGATACTTTATCAGAAAAAAAAAAAACTCTATAAACTGTTGAAACTAAAAATCAAACACATCACAAGTAAAGTATTGTAACGCCCACATTGAGGTATGTAACTTAACTTATGCCCTTATACCCTTAGTTGATTTTTTTTGTTAAAGTTATTTTCAGAAAATGTGAAGAAAATGCCTTAAAATTTCATTAGTGGTAAAATGGTCTTTTCACACATAATTAGTTGAAAAAGTGGGGAGTGAAAAGAGAAAGAATTTCATGAAGAAGTTAATAAAAATGAGGGTATTATTGTAATTGACTAAGGGACATAGATGGAATTTCATAGAAAGTACAAGGACAAAATGGGCAAGTATAAGTAATAAATGAGATATCCTAGGTTCATTCTTGAAAACCCTATCATTCTCTACTCCTTCACACGCCACTTTCATCTCCAAATTCTCTCATTTTCTTCATCAAATTTCCAAGGCAATTTAAAGGATTTTTGGTTGGATTTTGGTAGATATTCAATCCTAACCATCCAAAGGTAAGAGATATTGCAATAAGATGTGAGATTAATTTTTAAAGTGTTGAATTCTAATAGTTATATGCTAAGGGTTTAAGAAGGAGAGGACATCTACCCAAAGAGAGAGTTTCTAATGTGGAACTACCCAAGATCAAGGTAAGTAAATCCAACCCTAAGTTTGATTTGAGTAAGTTTGTAGAGATTTGTACATGTATGTATGTGCTTATGTTTTTGAGAAGTTTTGATGAGATTGATACTTGATGATAATTACAATTCAGCCATGAGAATGTAGACTTTGTCTTAATGGTGATTTATGGAGTGTATTTTCCTAGCTAGGTTTAGTGTTGATTTAAGGGAGTTTTCCTCCAAATATTGGTGGCTTGAGAAAGAAGAATAAGTGTAGCCAAATTAGAGTTTGAGTATGCATGCAATTTGTTTGATGAAAATCCTAAGAGAAAACATGTTACCATGGTTGCCATGTCATAGCCGTGACCTTCTGAATGATTTTTGGGCATCTTACCGATTGAATTGGGTTGAGACCTAAACATAAAAGTTGTAGCCATGTCTCTAAGCTTTAAGACGAGACCAAGTCGTAGCAATCTGATGTGTATAACTCGAGATATGCCTTCTTGAATATGACCTGTGCAGAATGACTACCTCAAAATATTTTTAGTCTAATAATCTATGATTGATTTCAAATATGGGAATGTTGTTGGTAAAAAATACTAGTTCTCTAATGATATTTTTATATGTCATAATGTATTCTCACATTTGCATTTAGAAAGAATAGAAAAGAATGAGCATAGTTCCATGCACATACACATGGATGAGAATAGTAAAGAAGAAAGAAAGAAAAGAAAGAAAGAAAGAAATAATAAAAAGAAAGAAAGAACAGAACAAAAAGAAAGAAAGAATAGAACACAGAAAGAAAGAACAGAAGAGAAAGAAAGAAGAGAAACAGAAAAGAAATTGCATTCTTTATGCATTTATGCATATGCATCATGGCATTCATATTATTGAGAATTAGTTTCTCCAGTTCTGCTTACTCGTGAGTAAGTGAGAAACAAGAATATAGAAAGAATAGAGAGAAAGAATATAGAAAGACCAAAGAAAAAGAAAGAAATGTGTTGTAAGGAAAAAAATTCAGAAATTGAACAACGGAAAGAAAGGAGTAGCCTAATGGGTTTACTTACTGAGCAATTAGTGCTCACCCCGTTATTTTCAATGTTTTTGCAGGTAGTAGATGAGAGGCGTTCGGAAGGAGTGTCAAGAAGCGGAAGGAGCGAGCAACACTGTCGAGACTATTTCGAGAAGTTTTGTTACATGATGTAAAGTTATTTTAAACTCATCTACATGTATATTTTCCTATATATATTTAGTGAGTTTTACTGTTATTTTACGAGTATTCTAGCTAGAAAGAAAGCATTACAAGTATAATATAAAAGATAGAACACACGATTTACTCTAGTTCGTTCCAATTAAGGAACTACGTATAGTATTCAAACCGAGAATTCTTATTGAGTATCAGAACTTGACGCAATTACAATGATAGCTCACTATAACTCTCAATTCTTTTTCACATTAGGCCTCTAACTATTACAAAATACTCATAATAGAAAACCCTAACCCCATTTGGGCTTACCAGAATCTAACCCGACCCAGGCCCAACTATTAATAAACTAATTCCAAAACATTGCACTTACCGTGAGTCGCCGTAGGTAGACAATTCGTCAAGGCTAAGAGAAGTATACACCATATCCAACATAAACTAATAGATTAATTAAAAATCCAATAA